TTCAGTGTTAACGTCTAATAAGCTGGGCGGTCTCTATCCTGCTGCTTCGTGGGACCTCTGAGAGCTGCCGATGACGACGCTTCAGCTCCTCTCACTCAGCCCACACTTCCCGTCGTGTCCCCTTCCCTCAGCGGGTGCTGGACACCAGGGTCCACACGCTGGACAGACTCAAGTCTGTGTCTGGAGAGATTAAATGTGGGGTATGTGCTCCTGGGTTGAGAAGCTTTGCTCAGCCGTGGTGAGCAGGAAGGACTGACCATTCCCTTCATTGGCTGAGGTGTTTCAACCAGAAGAGTGGAAGTGAGGACGCAGGATCCCCACAACCCGTGTGAGCAGCACCCCAGCACCTCCAGCCCACCACAACCTTCTCCCTGAGGCCAAAAGGACACCTTGTCTGGCGCTGACCCCGCCTGCCCCTACCACGCAGGCAGACCAGGGGAAAGGCTGAGTTGTCTCCCGGGTAGTACGGGGGTCCAGAGCATCAGGATTCACAGTTCCCAGAGGCAGGATCCCCCAGGGGTGGTCATATGTTGACCATGAGGACGAGGGGGGGTCATGAGGGAGCACTGGTGGGCGGATGGGGCCACAGTGTCTGCCCCCCTAACGGCGCCTGTGGGGATCCCTGGAGTTGGGAGAAGCGCCAGGCGCCATCACGTCCGCGGCCATTGGCAGATACCACTGGGCAGCGCATGTCCCTACCCAGGTACCCTGTGGCCGGTCAGTAGAGGGTGATGGAGACTGGCAAGGAGTAAAAACTGACCTGTCCTCACAGGTGTAAAAACTAACAAAATTGCATCTGACACACTCAGGGCACTATTGCTCACTGAATATACTACAGGACAACCCAATTAACACAGTCGAGTAAACACACACTTTCCCTCTGGAGGAAGGTCCCTGAGGGCTGGAATCTGGACCGTGTCCAACACATGGACACCAGCTGCAGAGCTCAAATAGCCCAGCCCTGAGGCCCTGCTCTGTCCATGAGGTGGCACAGGATGGTGTGGAACATCCTATGAGTGCTCAGAGGCTCCCCACGAGCCCCGACCACGGAGTGAGAGGCCGGGACGCCCTCTGTCCCGCCATGGGGACAACCTCAGGAGAGAGACTCGACATGGCAGCTGGAAACGACCCTCAGACCACAGTTATTCTGTTTGTAAACAGTTTTCAGAATAGAAACCGTTCAGACTTGAAAGACTTTAGATTTCAAGCTTCATTGTAGATTAGAGAAAGCACATCATCCAAAATAGTCATTTCATAAATAATGAAAACTATTGCTTTTAGAGTTGCACAAGTTCCTCAATGATGCACTGCTGCATCATCCTGGGGTTAAGATTCAATGGCAGAAAATAACTTTTTTTAATTGAAAAATCCAAATATTATGAATTTTAATAGCATCATCATATTAGTAGATTTTAATATACGATGCATATGACTTCATAACTATGATCTGGACACTCAGCTCAAAGAGTCAGTGTGTATTAAGTATCAAATAAAATCAAAACAATTGATGCAATTAAATTGGGATTAAAAAACTCAAAATCAAATAAAAATACTTATAGTTAAAAATCAGAATGTTAAGCCATTTTGTTCTGAACTATTGCAACAGATAAAAGAGACAAGTGGAAATTCAAAAACTTTTTAAAGCAACATGATCACCACTTCATGGCTCTAATACTAACAGGAGGGTGGCACGGATGTCTGCTACTTTTGGACATGGAATTGGGATTTTTCCCTGAGTCCATCGCTCAAGGATTGTTAGTGATATTAAATTGAAAAAAACAAAATATTTTAACAATACCTGGAGAGAGATGTATCAAAATTATTTCATCATTACAAATAGTATTTTAAATCACTCCTAAGATGTCTACATGTATGACCACCAGGTATTTTCATTATCTTCTAGTTTTTATTAAATTAATTTGAATTGTATATACACTGATATATAGCCACAAGTTTATTCCCCACATACTCCTTAAAAATCCTGCCTCCCCAGGGGCTGCCCCTCCATCACCCCACAGAGGGGGGAGAGGATGACATTGGGGAGGGAGAGTGTGGGCAGGGCTGCACCGTGTCCAGGTGTCCCCACTCATGTACAGTCCTGGGGGAGGAACAAATCTGCACCCGGGGGACCCGGGGCCCTGGGACCGGCAGGGACAGCCACACGCACAGACATTCTGGTTCAGCCCCGGAGCAGCCTCCTCCCTGCACAGACGTGCATGAGTCTGAGGGGGAGTGGGGCCGGGCAGGGACCTGGAGTTGGACGAGCCCATCTTACAGCAGGGACGTGTGGGTGTGAACAGGAGGAGACTCTTAGGGAAATGTGGTTTCTGGGTCCTCAGATGTGGGGAGTCAGGGGTAGGGAGATAAGGAGATGGGCCAGAAAGCAGAAGTGAGGGCATAGGGGCAGGAATCTGACAGAGGAGGTGTCAGGATACACCGCACGGGGACAACGAGCCCAGATCATTCAGTTCCAGGACAGGGTCGGGTCCTGGGGAGCAGGAAAACAGGGACCCACACACCCCATCTCCCTGCATACCCGTCCCTGTGGGGCCTCTCCAGACCAGGGCTGTGCTGCAGGAGCAGGGAAAGGCTCTCCAAGGTGGGGAGGGTCTGGGCATGTCCACGTGTCCGCTGGGGCTGTGCCCTGGACAACCTCTGGGAGGTGTGCTCGGCGGGAGACGCTGGGCCTGGGCAGGAGGCAGGAGCAACAGAACTGGGGCAGTGGGGAGGGACTGTTAGTCTGGTTATGAGATCAAACAGAGCAGAATCCTATGATCACCAAAATGTCCCTCCTTCCCAATCCCAGATCCAGTGTGATAAATGCGCGTTTCTGGAGCTGAACACTAAAGGCTCAACAGAGTGAGAGACATGGAGCTGCTCCACTCCACAGCCTCAGAGTGACCACTGGGACAAGCCTGTGACTGTCCTTGTAGGTGTCATGCTTTATTCAGCTCGATGTTTTTACATAGATGATGGCTCCTCGGGTGACCAATCTCACGGCTGTGACAGTATACTTTCTCCTTGGGTTTCCCACCCAAGGGACAATGAGCTTCTTGCACCTGCTGCTCTTCTCCCTGGTCTACCTGTGCGCCCTCCTGGGGAACGGGGTCATCGTCCTCATCACCACCCTGGACCGGCACGTCCACACCCCCATGTACTTCATCCTGAAGAGTCTGTCCTTTTCGGACCTCTGCTTCCTCTCAGCCACAGTCCCCAAGTCCATTGCCAACTCTCTGAGACACAGCAGCTCCATCTCCTTCCCAGGCTGTGTCCTCCAGGTCTTTGTGCTGATTCCTTCAGGGGCTGCAGTTTCACATATGTGTGGTGATGAGCTATGACCACTATGCTGCCATCTGCCACCCCCTGCACTATGACATCATCATGAGCAGGGACAGGTGTGTGCAGCTGACAGCTGTGTCCTGGCTGGGTGGGGGTATCCATGCTGTGATGCACACAGCTGAAACCTTCTCCTTGTCCTACTGTGGGTCCAACGTTGTCCACCAGTTCTTCTGTGACATCCCCCAGTTATTGGCTACTTCCTGCTCAGGAAATTTAATCAACGAACTTGTCTCTATTCTCACTAGTGTAGTGACAGATTCCTTTTGTTTCATTTTCATCGTCATTTCCTATGTCCATATCTTCTCTGCTGTCAGGAAGATCCCATCCACAGCAGGGAAGGCCAAAGTCTACTCCACCTGCCTTCCCCACCTGCTGGTTGTGGTGCTGTTTCTCTCCACTGGATGCTTTGCTTATCTGAAGCTGACCTCAGGGACTCCTTCCAAGTCTGACTTGGTCATTTCTATGTTCTACACAATGGTTCCCCCCACCTTTAATCCAGTCATATACAGTCTGAGGAACCAAGCCATGAAGTTGGCTGTAGGGAGACTGATGAAGGAGAGACTCACCAAAATGTAAGAGAAGATTAGTTTATGACTCTATTATGAAACATTTATTTTAAATTTTCACATTATTGTCCCCTTAATATTCTTTTAATTTTATATAATTTCATTGTATAATTTAAATATATATGCTCATTTTTAAGATATATTTACAATGACTTCATATATTCTTCTGCTCATTCACTCATTTAGCATTGATTTTTCCTCATTTTAACACTTTGTTGCACTTTGATATTCTCTGTACAATGAAGGTCATCTAACTTCAGCATTTATCTGCTGTTCTCCATTTTTGTGCTCTTGGCTGAGGGGCGATGGTTGGGTTTCATTTAAGTCATCAGCAGAAGTTCTCTCACTGGGGCAGCATCTCCAGTCTCTAAGGCACTTCCCCTTTCATGTTACTGACACGCGCGGTCACATGTGGGATCAGGGGCTATGGGTGGGACAGAATCCCCTGTACTTTGTGAGTGAGGCCTTCCTCGCATAAGGAAGATCTGAGGGCCCAAGTTGGAAACTGAGTGGTCACGACATTCTGTGGACAAGGACCCACACATGATGTGGTAGAGACCCTCCTGGAGGCTCTGGTGTGGGTGCCACCAGCATTTACCATAAACACACTCAGCACACAGTGGACACCAGATATAAGACAGTGGCTGTGAAAGCTATTAATTTCATGTGCAGTATAATTACTAAAAATTAACTGAAATAGTGTGTAGGGTTTTTCAAGAAACAATAAAGGAACTTTGGAAGCTATAATGGTAAAAAAAATACTAGCTAATGAACTACGCAATATTCTAATATTTGCAGAGATAGTTGAGGAAGGGCACTCACAACATCACGCCACACTTTCCTTGTGTGTTTATCCCCATATATTTAATTTCCTAGAATTTCTGGGAATTTGAGGACAATGTCATTTTGGCCACATTATTATGGGGTTCTCAGAGTGTTTGTGTTTCCATGTGGAGTAGTTCAAACGAGAAACCTCATTGGATTTACATATCATAAATATGAAAATTTCACACCAAAATATTTCATGATAATATGCAGTTCCAACTGGATATCAGACATTTAACTCATTCTCAGACATTCACACTCTGAGGATGCTAATCAGGCTGACGTTGCCTTCAGCCCAGGTGAGGACCGTGTAGGCACAATGTAAGTTTGGAGGCAGCCAGGAATGGTTAGAAGATGGCAACATCTCCATCTTTGAACTTTTGGGTTGACAAATTTCTGCTGTTCTTTTAAATCATTGGCATTTTTATTTTTTCTGATGATAGATAACATTCTTATTATTAATTCTAGCTACTGTCATAGTTTACAGGTCAATAAATTTATGGGATATCTAGAGAAGGTTATGGGGTATAATGAGAATTCAATACACGTATTGAATGAAGAAGCTTAATCAGACTATTATAAACATAGACTAAGAATATTCATTGCCTACAATTTGTCAGTTTTGTATAACATAATTAAAATGTTTAAACTAATAAAACATTTACTGTCTCTCACTTGTATGGATTTAAACATTTCAGCACAATTAAATCTGCTGTGGACAATGTAATATACACTAGGAAAACAAAAGATTCCACTGAAAAACAAATTAAAATAATAAGCCACTTCAGTGTAGTTAAAAGTGTAAAAAATCAACACACAGGGCCTCCCCGGTGGCGCAGCAGTTGAGCGCTGGGCTGCGAAGATGCCTGCAGCCTTCACAGTGCCAGTTCAATCCCCGGCCACTGACAAGGGTTTCTCATGGTGCGCAAACCTCTCCTGCCAGCCGCTGCTCCCCTCAGCAGTGTACTTCATCAGTCTTCCTGCTCTGTTCCCTGCTCTGGCTCTGGTGAGTTCTCTCACCCTCATGCACGTCTGACTGTACCCAGTGCTTGTATAAATAAATAAATTAATTAATTAATAATTAAATAAACACAATGTTGTCAACTTGTGTTAACTTAATAAATAAGCCAAACTTTAAAAAAAAAAAAACACACAAAAATCAATTGCCTTCTATATGCACAACATTAACTAGAAAAGAAGTTAAGAAAACAATCCCACATATAATCATGAGATGAAGTACCATGGAGTAAACATAACAAAGGAGGTAAAGATGCCAAGAAAAGAGTAAGATATTGTTAATAGAAATAGAAAAGAAAGAGAAATGGAAAGATATTCCCTTCCCTTGGCTTGGGAGAATCAACAAACCAAATGTGCATCTGACCCAAAGCAATTTACAGAATCAGTGTAATCCCAATAAAAACTTCAATGGCATTTTCCAAAGATATAAAAATTGCTCAAAATTTGCCCATACCAGGCCCTTTTCTGGCCTGCAGTCCAAGCCCAGAGGAGGAGCGGGAACCAATCGCTGGGGCAGACTGGGTGCACAGGGCGTGTGTCCCCACATCACCACTTTATAACAGGGACATTTCTTCAGTAAAGACTGCTTGAAACCGGCAGAAGTCTCCCGGAGGAGCCAGAGGTGAGCTGGGAAGTTCACTCATGCCAGTCCCCTTCTGGCCTCTAGTCCCAGCCCAGAGGGGAGCAGGAACTCACTGCCGGGGCAGACAGGGCACACAGAGGAGTGCAAAACTGTATCACCTTTTTAGAACAGGGACCTTTCTTCAGTAAAGCCTGCTTGAAACCGGCAGATGGCTCCTCAAACAGCCAGTGGTAAGCTGGGAATTTCGCCCAAAATGCCGTCCAGTCCCAGCAACAGTGTCCCAATGCATATGGCAAATTAGAAAACAGGCATTATGGAGTAGAAAAACCACATGGAACCCAGCAACTCCTCAGAAAAAAAAGCACACCATATAAAGAAAACCACCCCCCAGATTGCAACGACAGTAACTTGGAAGAACTTCTGAGCCTACCAGAAAGAGAATTCAAAATTGCCATGATTAAAAAACTTACAGAAGTCATAAAAGAAAACAATGATAAGGGAAAATAATCAACAAACAGAAAAATGAAATGAGTCCCTAAAGAGGGAAGTAAAAGAAATGCAGGAGATCAAAGAATTAATGGAGGCTCTAGAGAACTCTGTGGAAAGCAATGAAAGCAGAATAAATGGAAGCAGATGAAATGGAAGAACAAATAAATACTCTTGAAGACACAGAAATATAAAGAACCAAAACAGAAAAGGAAAGAGAAATACGAAGGAAAAAGACCAAAGAAATACTTTGGGAACTATCTGCCTCCATGAGGAAAGGAAAATATAAGAGTTATAGGAATCCCAGAAGGAGAGGAGAGAGATGTAGGAACAGAGAAAATATTCAAGGAGATAATTGAAGAGAACTTCCCAAATGTGAAGAAGGAGCTGAAAATTGATATACAACAAGCAAGAAGAACACCAAATTCCACAACGAAAGGAAAAATACAGCAAGACACATAATAGTAAAGCTCCCAAGAATCCAGGACAAGGAAAAAATAATGAAGCTGACAAGAGGGAAGAAACAGATAATATTCAAAGGAAAACCAATCAGGCTGACATCAGACTTCTCCAAAGAAACACTATGGACAAGGAGAGAGTGGAGGGACATATTCAACAGACTCCAAGAAAACAGATGCCAACCAAGAATACTCAATCCTGCAAAGCTCTCCTTCCTCTATGAAGAAAGAATAAGGACCTTCCCAGACAAACAGAAATTCTGGAATTTCATTACAACTAAACCCCCACTCCAAAAAAAAAAAAAAAAAAAAAAAAAAACTACAAGGAATCCTAAAGTCAGAACCTCAGAGGGACGAATAACATGAAAGAAGGCCAAAAAAAAAGTTATTGAAATAATAAATAAATAAAATAAAAGGAAAGAAAAACACAATGGCAAATACAGATGCAAACATATCAATATTAAATCTAAATGTAAATGGACTAAACTCTTCAATAACAAGACACAGAGTCGCTGGCTGGATTAAGAAACAAAACCCAAACTTTTGCTGTCTCCAGGAAACACATTTAGCTACAAAAGATAAAAATAGACTCAAAGTTAAAGGATAGAGAACAATCCTACAAACAAATGGACCAAAAAAGAAAGCAGGAACAGCTATACTTATATCAGATAAAATAGATTTCAAACACAAAAAGATAAAAGAGACCCCGATGGTTACTACATTATGATCAAGGGGACAATACTTCAAGAAGAAATACCACCCATTAACATATATTCACCAAACGAAGGAACACCAAAATATATCAGACAACTATTGTCATCTCTGAAAACAGACATCAGAGAAAACACATACGTAGTGGGAGACTTCAACACACAACTATCAACAATGGATAGATCAACGAGAAAAGAAATAAGTAAAGACACTAAAGCTCTAAATAAGGATCTAGAGCGCTTGGGCTTAACAGACATCTATATAACACTAAACCCCCCAAAAAAAGGAGTACACATTTTTCTCAAGCACATTCGGATCATTATCCAGGATTGATCACATACTGGGACACAAGACAAACATCAACAGATACACCAAGACTGAAATCCTACCAACCATCTTTTCTGAACATGAAAGCATCAAACTAGAAATAAACCATAAAAAGAAGGCAAGGAACTCTCCTGCCTCATGGAGATTGAAAAACACACTACTGGAAGTCCACTGGACTAATGAGGAGATCAAAGAAGAAATTAAAAAATTCTTTTAATTGAATGACAAGGAGGACACCGATTTCCTAAATGTATGAGATGCAGCAAAAGCAGTAATAATAGGAAAGTATATAGCAATAGAAGCTCACATCAAGAAACAAGAAAGAACTCAAAGAAAAAACCTAATCTTGAAGCTCAAAGATCTAGAAAAAGAAGAAGAAGAACAACAACAACAAAAAAAGTAGAAGAAAAGAAATAATAAAAACCAAAGAAGAAACAAATGAAATCAAAACAAAACAAACCAAAACAAAAACAATCCAAAAGATCAATGAAACCAAGAGCTGGTTCTTCGAAAAAATAAATAAAATAGACAAACCCCTACCCAGGCTCACAAAGGAAAAAGGGAGAAAGCACAAATAAACAGGATCATAAAGGAAAGAGGAAAAATCACAACGGACACAGCAGAAATCAAAAGAATAATCACTAACTACTATGAACAGTTATATGGAAACAAGTTCAACAATCTAGAGGAGATGGACAAATTCCTATAACTCTACAATCACCCAAAGCTAGATAAAGAAGAAATAGAACACCTAAACAGACCAATTACATGCAGCAAAATTGAAATGATAATCAAAAACCTCCCCAAAACAAAAGCCCAGGACCTGATGGATTTACAAATGAATTCTACCAAGCATTCAGAGACGAATTAGTGCCTATCCTTCACAAACTCTTCCAAAGAATTGAGAAGGAAGGGTTAATAACAATCACGTTCTATGAAGCCAACATTACACTAATACCAAAACCAAACAAGGACAACACAAAAAAATGAAATGTACAGGCCAATCTCCCTAATTAACACTGATGCAACTATCCTCAAAAAAATTTTAGCTATCATGGGCCTCACCTGGTGGCGCAGCAGTTGAGTACTGGGTTGTGAAGCTGCCCGCAGCCTCTGCAGCGCCAGTTCGATTCCCGGCCACTGGGTGAGGGTCCCACGAGGTTTCCAATGGGGGAAACAGATGCAGACCCCAGCATCTTAGGGAAAGGTGTCTCCCTGACCATGTGGAGTGGGGCAGCACTTCGAAGTCCCTGCACACCTGTCTAGACTAGCCAGAGAGTGCCACAAAGGGGTGGCCTCCCCTGTCCCCCTTCACAAAGGACCCACGGGCGTGAGGCCACCCCAATCTGGAAAGGGGTGGCATCCCCCGTCCCCAGTCACTGCAAGGGCGTGGCCTCCCCCTGCCAACCCCTCACAAAAGCCCTGTGGGCGTGAGGCCACCCCAATCTACAAAGGGGTGGCCTCCCCCATCCCCCCATCACAAAAGTCCCACGGGGATGAGGCCACCCCAATCTGTCTCCCCCTCACCTGTCTCACTTCCCCCTCACCTCCCACCTCACCTGTCCCCCCCCACAACAGTCCCACGGGCATGAGGCCACCCCAATCCGCAATGGGGTGGCCTCCCCTGTCTCCCTTCACAAAAGACCCATGGGCATGAGGCCACCCCATTCCGCAAATGGGTGGCCTCCCCCATCCCCCCTCACAAAAGTCCCTCAGGCATGAGGCCACCCCAATCCACAAAGGGGTGGCCTCCTCCATCCCCCCTCACTAAAGACCCAGGGGCATGAGGCCACCCCAATCTGCAAAGGGGTGGCCTCCCTTGTCCCCCCTTCATGAAAGTCCCATGGGCAGGAGGCCACCCGAATCCACAAAGGGGTGGCCTCCCCCATCCCACTCTTACCAAAGTCCCACGGGCATGAGGCCACCCCAATCCATAAAGGGGTGGCCTCCCCATCCCCCCTCACAAAATTTCGGCAGGCATGAGGCCACCCCAGTCCACAAAGGGGTGGCATCCCCCATCCCCTGTCACAAAAGTCCCACGGGCATGAGGCCACCCAAATCTGCAAAGGGGTGGCCTCCCCTGACCCTCCCCACAAAATTCCCATGGGCATGAGGCCACCCCAGTCTGCAAAGGGGTGGCCTTCCCCATCCCCCTCACAAAAGACCTGTGGGCATGAGGCCACCCCAATCCGCAAAGGGGTGGCCTCCCCCATCCCCCCTCACAAAAGTCCAGCAGGCATGAGGCCACCCCAATCCGCAAAGGGGTGGCCTCCACTTGCAGTCTTTAAAAAGTCCCATGAGCCTCTGTGCCTACGTATCTTGGAAGCCACCCCGGATCTGCAGAGGGGTGGACTTTGGTGCTGCTTTTACAAAAAGTCCCCATGGAGGGGATGCGTGGCTTATTTGGGCAATTTGGGGGTACACACATACTCCCCTAGCCATGTGGACAAATGGGCTTGGCTCAGAGGCCGGGCCGCGGTGGCTGGTGGAGGCCGGGCGGAGGGCGCAGGGCTGACCCGTGGCGTGCACGCTGTCCTGGGACACCCCGGGAGAGGAGGCGTCTATGAATTATTTGGCATGGAGGAAACTTACTTGTCACTCACCTGCGCCAGACGGAGGAGGCCAGGACAGGGTGTGGTTCCCGGCTGTAGCACTTTTATTTCTGAATAAACCAAATTCACTGCGTGACTTAGAATCATCTGTCTCGGCAGCGGCCCTGCGACCTGGGGTGGGGCGCCGCGCGGGGTTGGGTCCCGCGGGCAGAGGGCAGGCTTTGGGGTGGCGAGGTGCACCCACGCGGTGTTGGCGTGTCTGGCCCCGCTCAGCTCTCCAGCCTGCCGGCCTGTGGGCTGCGCGCCGCCCGGGAGGGCCAGGGTCCTGCTCAGATGACAAGGCTGGGAAACCTGGTCGAGTCCTGTGGAAGGAAAGCAGGGTGCCAGCACCCCAGGTACTGGCTTCCAGCCTGGGCATCTCTGCTTTCCCCCTGCTCCGCTGGGGCGCCCAGCCGGACCCCACACAGCCTCCAGGCTGGCACCTACCCCTGGTGGCCACAGCAGGGCTCAGAAGATAACCAGCGAACGTCCAGGTGCTTTCCAGGGCAGCCTGGGAAAGACGGAGGCTTTCCGGGCACCCCTGCACGCCCCCCCCCCCGCTTAAACCCTCCCTTCCCCCTGAACTCCCGGGGCACAGCCACCCGCAGCCTGTCGCTCCCGCCTGTCAGAAATGGGCTTTGCTTGCAGCGAGAGGCCTCAGGATGCGGCGCTGGAACCACACAGCTGCTGGCAAAGCACCCGCTCGGGGCAGGGCAGGGGGTGCTGAGGGTGACTGTGCCAGGCAGGAGTGCGGGGGCTGCTGGGGCGCAGGGGTTGGCCGGAGCGGGCGGGGCGCAGCATTTCCCTGCAGCTGGGCCAGGGGCTCCTGCGGGTCAGCTCGGGGTTCCCAGCACCAGAGTTGTGTGTGTGTGTGCATGTGTGTGCGCATGCATGTGTGTGTTTGTGTGTGTGTGTTCATGTGTGTGCGTGTGTGTGCGTTGAATGCACACAAGTGTATTTACAGATGTCTATAGGACAGGGCAGGCGCGATCCCACAGGGGGCACCAGGGTCACCGAGGCCCACTGGGCTGTGTCACCACAACAGACTAAAGCCCAGGCGAAGCAGGGCTGGGGAGCCCCATCACGGAACATCCCCCTGCAGGCTAGGGAAGGGTGGTGCCCGGCTGAGGGGGGGTCTAGTTAGAGGTCGAGGGGGACTTGTGGCTCAGGACAGGTGACTCACCTGCTGCTGGGCTGGCAACTGGAGAGGGGCAGAGAGGATGGGTGAAGGGCAGGGGCAGAGCTGGCAAGGCGGGGCAGCCTGGGATGCAGGGCAGGAGGGGGTGGGGAAGAAGAAGTGCAGGGGGCGGGCAAGGGTTCTGGATGAGAGGAGACTGGGGAAGAGGGGCTGATGGAGGAGCAGGAGCTGGAGCCTCTCCCTGCCGCTAGTGCCCCCCACACACACCAGAGGGTGCCCTGCACTCCAGACGTGCCTTGGCCAGCGGCTTCCCTCCCCCGCTCCCGTCTTTCAAGCCGCAGGCCCAGGGCCACCCTCAGCCTCGGGAGTAGGGGCTGCCGGCCCCACGCCACACCCCCATCTCGCATGGGAAAAGGCAGGCGGGAGAAAACGGTTTGCACCAGGAGGGCAGAGCAGAGAGGATGGCTTGAGGGAGCCTGGGGGCTCCCTGAGGTGGGCAGAAAGCTCAGGAGTGCTCCGGAGGGACCCTGGGAAGCAGGGAGGGCAGGAAGCTGGATGCCAGTGGCCACAGGCTCCTCAGTCTGAGAGGGGAGCCTCTGCTGGCCCGGGGCCGCAGGTCACTTAGGTAAGGCTGTACCCTTCCTGCTGGGGAAAGGCAGAAGAAAGCACCAATGTGGGGGTGCAGGGGCAGGCAGGTCCATGGGGTATGTGTTATTGCCTGGCTGAAGCAGAACTCAGAGAAGCCAACTTGCCTGGGTCAGCAGACACAGGTCCCCTGGCTGCAAAGGGGAGGTGACCCTAAGGAGCCACAGGCCCAGGTCCACAGCCTGCAGACGGTGCTTCCCCTGGCACACAGGGGCTGCCTTGGCCCTGCACTGGCGGGCACAGCCACACCTGGCATGGATCTAGTTGTCACCCTACAAGCCTAAGACTTTGGAAAACAGTAAGTTTAGTTAGAGCAATTACAAAAGAGCCACACACCTTGTGTACCACTTTAGGGTTGATCTGTTCAAGCCTTCCTATTAGAAGTCAGTCCTGGGGTGCCCTGGACAGCAGCTCAAAGAGCAAATTCAATATCAAAGTACAGATGACCCCTCCCCACACTCAGGAGAAATGACGACATAGGGAAGAAAAACCCAGTAGAGTTGCATGAGGCACCGTACCGGTGCTCTGACCACAGCTGCCCCTGTATGTCTTCTAGCAGCTGTCCGGTAAGCATTAGTCCATCAATTGAAAAAATTCAGAGTGAGTCAAGAATAGGTATCTCTTCCTCTGACAAGGCTCAGCAAAGTAACATGAGGGTAAAAGAGCACCCCGATTTTTAGATGATCTGAACAGACTTTAATTTGTTACAGGAAGCCATAGAAAGCAGTTTTAGAATGCCATCAATTTATTTATTTATTTTAACAATGTATTTATTTATGCATAGAACTGGGGTACAAGCCAGAGGTGCAGGGTGTGTGTGTTTATGTGCATATGTGTGTGTGTGAGAGAGAAAGAGAGAGTATTCACCAGAGACAGAGTGGGGAACAGAACAGGCAGCCTGAACTGAAATCCACTGCAGAGGGGAGCAGGGGGCGAGACAGAAGAGGTCTGCTGCGCCATGTGGGTAACTCCCTGGTGGGCTGGGGCATTGAAGTCTTGCTGCAGAGGCTACCGACAGCTTTACAGTGCTGTGCTTAACTCCCTGCACCACCAGGGAGGACCAATACCTTGATTGTTATATAAAAAAAGACTAAAATTTGGTGTTACATAGGTACACTACTGATATTTAAGTCATTTAAAATCTTTTCCCATAAGTCACTTGAGCACACAAAATTTCTTTTTCTAAAATTTGTCATTCAGACCTTTGACCATTTCTTTTGCTTTCTTATTGGTAAACACTTTTGCTTTCTTATTGGTTAACACTTTTGCTTTCTTAATATTTCTTTTTCTCCCTCTCTCAGACCTTTAACACTTGCTTTAAAACTTTTTACTTTATCTTTTACTTTACCTTTAAAATATATATTGTTGGGCCTCCCCGGTGGTGCAGCAGTTGAGCGCTGGGTTGCGAAGCTGCCCGCGGCCTCTGCGGTGCCGGTTCAATTCCCGGCTGCTCCCCGGCCACCAGAGGATGGTCCCACATGGCGCGCAGACCTCTCCTGCTGCCCGCTGCTCCCCTCAGCAGTGTACTTCGGTCCTTCTGCCTGCTCTGCACCCCACTCTGGCTCTGGTGAATTCTCTCACCCTCCCACGCTTCTGACTGCACCCAGTGCATGTATAAACAAACAAACAAACAAATAAATAAATAAAGCATGCCTCTATTAAAAGAAAAACATAATAAAATATATATTGTTAATACATGCTTTTCTTTGCAAACACTCATCTCAATTTACATCTATTTAGCATTATTGTATCTGTCGTTTTTAGTAAAACATGTAATGGCTGTTACACTATCATGTGTTTAGAATAGATAAATTAGATATAAGCACAGGCTTTCAAAGAGATAGAAAATTAGCTTCCTACCTGACAAGAAATAAAAGGTTACTTGAAAGCTCAATGATTTTATACAAAGTGACTTAATTATTTAACAAACTTTCATTGTTAAACTTAGTAAAACCTCAGTTTTATAAGGAATTCTGTCATTATTTAAATAATGATAAGTGATAATGCAAAAATCTAAACATTAGAACTATGAAATTAACCTTTTTTTAATCTAATCACAAAATGACACAAGTTCCCTGAGAAATCTGTCAACAGAGGAAACATGAATCACAAAACAATCACCATGAATACCAACATCCTGAGGACACTAGTCACAGCTTCTGGTATGTTCCCCACTTGGATAGATAAGCTAGATCAACACATTAACAATCAAAGGGGGGTCTCATCCTGAATAATACTGCAGGTATGCTGAGGAATCCATTTCTTATCAATTGGTCTAGATCTCCAGGAATTTCCTCTGGTAGGTGCAGCAGCGAGCCGCTGTGTGGGGATCATCACAGAAAAGGCTATTTTGAAAGGCCGTCTCCTATGACTGACAATCATGTTTGGTTACTTTTCTAAAAAGTTTTTTTTTTTTTATTTATACTAAAACCGGGGCACAGGCGGGATGTGCGGGAGGGTGAGAGGACACACCAGAGCCAGAGTGGGGAACAGAACAGCCAGAAGGACTGAAAACACTACTGAGGGGAAGCGGGCGCGGCAGGAGAGGTCTGCGTCATCCAGGACCCAAAAATACCCGCGCAGAGCTCTGCACCCCCAGCCGCCCCGCCCCGGGTCCCCTGACTGGCCCCCCTGCACCAGCCACCGGCAGCGACTTGTCCTCACCTCCCTCTTGCTCCGGGTGGTTCCTAAAGAAACGGGGCTCCCGCAGGCAAGAGCTTCACCGGAGTCTGGAGCAGCGAGTGCCGAGGAGACCCCAGCAGCGGGGGAGGCGGGAGCGGGCGCAGGGCCAGGGCTGCAGGGGCGGGTGTCGGGGCGGCCCAGGGCCGGGCCAGCGGGAGAACCCGGGGGCTCACGGGGCGCCCCGCCCGTCCTGCTGCGCTGAAGCTCAGAAAACCCAACTACACGGGGGCGAACACCCCGCGTCTCCACGACGCCGTTAACGTAGAATTTCCACGCGACTCCACAGCAAGTCGCGCCCCGTGACTGAAAACACGCGAGGATTGTTCACCCGCGACCACACAGGCCCGAACATGCTGCCCCCACAGGGAGAGACGGGGCGTCCCGCCCCCCATTATTCCCTGCCTCTCCCCGCCCCGCCACCAGCCGGCGCGCTCCCCGCCTGTACGCTGCCCCGGGCTGCTCCCTCCTTGGCCCGCAGGCTGCTCTGCCAGGCCCCGCGTCTCTGCCACTTCCGCTCTAGCGTCTGCGCGCAGGGACGTGACGTCAACACGCAGGGGGCGGGGCGAGGCCGAGGACGGACAGGCTCGCGGGGGAACCAGGCATGGAGACTTGTCGCGCGCCGCCTGGTGGCTG